TGTAAATAAATTGTGCGACAACAAAAAAGCTTGTATATATTATTTATGTTTTATTTATAGATATGCATTATATATAAGAAGATTTATTTTGATATACCTTGAAAATGGGTAGACATTTTCAACGAAACAGTTGGTAGAAAGTAGGCTATATTCTCTGATGAGGGAGTTTTCTTTCTTTGCCCATCATTTAAATCCTCTGGATGCTTAGAACGGAGCTGTCTTATCTCTGATGATGTATTGTTAGGAAATGCAAGATGTTGGTTACAAATGTTACATTTGACAAAACCGGGCTGCAAACGCTCAAAATGCTCCCACACAAGCGACCTTGTTCTTGTTCCTCCATCATCCAAATCAACCTATCAAATACATTTGTCTCTCTCCTAAACAAAACCCCACAAAATCTGACCATTTTCACTGACTTTTATTGTGTTAATGGGACGTGGCACAAGCCCTGCGATGGACTGGCAACCTGTCCAGGGTGTACCCTGCTTCTCATCCGCAGCTGGCTGGGATTGGCTGCAGCCCCCCGTGACCCCGTTTGGGACTAAGTGGTTTAGAAGATGGATGGATGTGGCACATCTAATTTATTTTTGCTTTTGTGCTGTTTAAAGGACTACAAACCCACACAGAGTGGTGGAACAGAGTTCACCATGCTGGCACCTCTGATATTTTATATAGGAGAACATGGCCCCTTAAGTTATGCCTCCCCTTTATGCCCTCTTCCTTTCATTCCTCCTCCTCATAGGTTTTGCTTGCTCTCTTGCTTTGAGACCTCTCATCAATAGCCTTTTTGAGTAGGGCTGTTTGGTTATAAACATTGGTTTTTAAAAAGGGGGATGGAACTTGTTGATGGTGGCCAATTTCCAAAGGCAGTGGAAATGTGAGGGGAAGAAAAGGGAATGAAGGGTGGAGTGAAAGCATGACAGATGAGGAGAGTGATGGAACGAGGGAGGAAATGGAGCCAGAAAGAGGCAAGGTGTGAGTCTGTGGGTAAGGCTATGCAGTAGCTTATGGTCTCCTAAGGTGAGTCCACATGGTGAGAGGTTGGACTGTGTGGTCCCTCCCTAACCCATTGACACAATGAGGCTCTGTGTGGCAGACCTGAGGAATGCTGAAAGATGGCAGGGCTGTGGGGAGGAGAAGGAAAGAGGGGGTTCTGGGGAGAGGGAGAGGAGGGAAGGGTTGTGTATGGGTAATGCATACATGACAATGAAGAAGAACATTTTTACTTAATGTGCCTTTAAGGTGCCAACTAGATTGTCTACTGTTTTCTCTTTCTGTAAAATGTTCCACGGTAACATTGTAGTTTTGTTGGGTCTCCTTTTGTTGTACGAATGAACTGATTTATTTATTTTATTGCTCACATACACTAGGACGGTTTTTAAATGTAATTTTTGATGGCTCATATAGGGAAACATTTTGACTGAGCAGCCTACTCTGGATGTGGGGTCTTTATAACTGCCAGCAAAAGTGAATGAGGGCTGTCTCATTAGAGTTAAAGAATATATATCAGTACCTCCAGTGCAGGCTATCTGAAATCTCTAAATAATATCTAGTGCAAATTGTTGTATTTGAATTACTTTTTGTTTATACTTTAATCATACAGAACAATTGCACTGTAGGTGCATATTTCATGTCCTATAAAAAAAATCAATTGTTGGAGAGTTGAAAGATAAATCTGTTTCTGTTTTGTAGAAATCTAAGAAGATGGCAGTCATGAAACTACTGATCAATCTCTCATTAAAATATATTACAGTCTACACTGGCCTGATAGGGAATGATACGTATTACTGGTTTTTAAATTCTTTTCTCTCATAAGTTCACTGTCATTTTTTGACTAATGGACTGACAGTAAAGTCCAGCTGAAGCTTGACAACAGCTGAGATTAGAGACTCTAGTCTGCTGAAATTTCAACATATGTTCACCAGACTACACTGATACACTGCTGTAAAAGCTAAACTTTTTGCTGCTCTTTTTTTGCAAGTAACATACTGTATGTGTAAATGAACTGATGTTTTCATTTACTGATCAAATATACAGTGACTGGGGGGGAGGACAAACTGAAACCCAAGTATGAGTGGATTTGAAGTGAGTGTGGTTTTCATCACAGTTGGATTTTGACATGTAAATGTGATTCTTTGTTGTGTTTGAAAAGACAGAACCAATATGTTTTCAATCATAATGCTATTTTTAAATGTACAGACCACCACACTCGATATGACGTGATCCTGCACCCCATTTACATTTTTTCTTGGAATTAAATTATATTCAGAACCCTTATTCTCAGTGCCTCAAATAAGGGTTTGTTTTTGTAAAGTCTGTCTTGTTTGAAGTACCTCAGATAGATAGATAGATAGATAAATTGATTGATTGATTGATAGATTAACAAGTCCTCAATAGCCTTATACTGTAAGTCATTTGTCCCTATACTGCTGTTATGAACCATAAAGCATTTCCTGATTTAGCGTCCCTACAGTGGCAGGTGATATGCCTCTCACCTTATGGCAGTGTTTTTCTCATCCTGTCTACATACAGATCTACTCCATATTGCTACCAGCGTCTGTGCACTGCTAGCATCAGAAAAAGTTGAATGCCACCTTCTGAGATCACTGCCAGTATCCAGTTCAGCTTCATCTGAGGGGAGAAATGTTTTAAACCATGATCAGATAGGAAGCAGGCCACTGGGCCAACAGAGAGGGCTACCTGCATGTGTAGACAAAAAAACTGTGTTCTGAACAAGCCACAGCTAAAATGCTGTAAAAAAAAAAATAAACACCATGGCATATTTATCTTGAGGTTGGCGTTATTCATGATGTGTGTCTATGAATGTGAATCTTTTACACAGAGAGATGTATGTGAGGGCTGGATATAGCAACTTAACTTAGTGTTATATTTTGGTATACGGTAGGGGAATAACTATACCACATAAGAAGAGGCTCTGTGCATTGTGGTTAATGCTATTTGTGTGTGCTCAACCAGAGAACATGCATTTTTATAAATACGTCTAACTAACCACACCAACTCTCAGATTAAAAGGCCCCCTTGTGGAAGAAATGGATGTCAGCCTCATGAGCAAAAAGAGCAGCCACTCTCTAAGCTGATTATAGTGCACCATTAAACTAAATGAATCAGGAGTTCAACATTCTTACCAAACACCTCAGAGGTATCTAGAATGGTGATGCTTGTAATAGGCTTATTCTACAATAATGGAGTTACACAAATAGGGGCTTAAGAAATCTGCTGCTCTTTAAGTTTTTTTTTCTTCACTTGATAAACTGAGGCAGTGTTTCTATACGACATTGTGCCATGCTCTGAAAGTACATCAGTTTTAGAGCTGGTATGGTAGCTAGCTGTTTTATAACAAATCTGTCTATGTAAGTTGGCACAGGCAAAAGCAATATGTTATAAAATGAGAGGAAGACATTTAATATGAAAGAGAATGGCATAGAAAAACAACCAATAATGCAGTGTTGATTGACTGTTGGCCATTCTCACATACCTTTTTCATTGCTTTGACTTGTGGTTTTCAAACTTGCAATGAATTATTGCAGCTTAGTGCAGACAGTTATAGAAGTGAATTATTTATTGTTAATATACAGATGACTGATTCATTCACAGTTTGATCAGTTTGGTTGATGGTGAGCAGTTACTGTACCAACAGGCTCAGCTGCTGAGAGTCTGGTACGGTGGTGGATTTTTCCAGGGAGTGCATAAAAAACTAGACAGCACTCTGCCAGCAGGCAACTCAGTTTCCTCATAATGCAATGATAGTTTGATACTCATAATATTAATGCTTGACCATGAAAACCCACAGCTGGAGTTTGGAATGACACTGATATCATTATTTGTTTGTTTGTTGTTCTAGAAAAACGATAGACATGACAGACATTCACTAGTTGGTTTAGGGGTAAATCTGGGACTTCAGCGAGTGGACTGTGGACAAAGAGGTGAAGACGTTGCATTTCGGCAAGTTTGTGTTCTGCTTTTTCAGCAGCTGTTTGATAAACTGCTCCTACCTTCTTCGTTACTGGCTGATTGTTGCATTATGCAGTGATCCTTTGCATCCTCTGCTCTCCCTCTCCAAGAAATGTCATTAAAATTTGTTCTTTACATTTTGAGTTATGCTGTTAACAAACAAACAAACCAACAAACACTGGCAAAAAATACTAACCCCTGCCCTTAGCAGAGGTAATATTAACTGCCTAACTGATTAACCAAGATATATGGTGTTTACAGAAGTGTGGGTATGTCCACCTCTGATGTGGCTGGTTTCAGACATTTTTAGGTGCTTTTCTCATACAGTAGATATGTAAAGCTGTTGTCTCAGAAAAGTACATGTCAGAGCTGCTGAACTCTTATTTGGTTTCAAATGGGTCATTTTCATGTGTCCTCAGAAGGAAAAAGAGGTAGGGGTGGGAATATCTATGTGGACAAATGACATACATACTGTATCTTTCCTATGTATTGGTTCCAAACAGCAAGGGAAAGTAAAGGGGCTGATGAAGGCTGTCAGAATGCCATGTTTGATGATTGTAACCCCTTACTCTGGAAACCTATCCAATTGCAGGTTTACTGTGGGGGTAGAAAGTGAAATTCCTTCTCTTGCAACTCTATTTTCTTTGAGCATGCCAGAATAAAAAAAAACCAATCTGTTTATGATGTCTCTGCAGATAAACTAGACGTATTTTTTGACATGACACCAACTCTGATGGCTGGGATGAAATGCGGCTTGACCTAGATACTGCACCAACCAAGAGTTCAGAATAGTAAATGTTTGACTTCCAACAAAGAAAATAAACTAACTTTGGCTCCAATAATAATGCTTTCTCTCACATAAATATATTATTTTTTTTAATGAGACTTGCTTTATCAACAAGACCATTATACCTTGTTTATGGTACTTAACAATTAAAATAACACGCAGTACCTTAAAGGTAGCAAGGCACAATGACACGGATCAGGGGCGGAGTCTATAAATAGGACCTGAGAGCTCACCTGGGCCTTTCTTCCTGGCTCTGGACACAAGTCTTTGTTTGGTGTTTGATTTGGTATGAGCTTGTTTTAATTGTGTATAAAATCTTGATTTTAATATGTACATTGCATTTACTTTATAATATGGCAGTGAGTGGTTAGCAGCCAAAAAACAATGGAAGCTTGAGTGACATCTTCAGACATTTTCAGTCTTTTTATTTGTACTATTGTGTACATTCCAGTCATGTGCATGTATCTGACCAAGGAGGAAGTTGTGGCCTAGTTCAGCCAGGTAAGTGTTACTTATTTTGTTACAGTATATTATGTTAAATGTTTGGAAAGTTTCTTTTATATGTGTTTTAATGTACTTACATTTCATTTAGTGCTCAAAGTCACTGGTATAATATTTTTCCTGTGTACTGTATCTTGTGTAGTTTGCAATATTGTCCAGTCTAGCCCCACATTGTTTTTTTTAATGTACGTAAATACAAATTCTGAGGATAGAAGTGACTCAACAACAAGCTTTTGCCATAAGTAACTGTTACTGCAAGATCAGACAATCAGGTGACACAGGCCTTTTATTTTTAGACTATTCATGAACAGTCTTAAGTACACATTATTCACAGTGACGTATTGACTTTTATTTCATTTTCATCAGTTTATACCTTCCCATGCTTTAGTCAAACAGGTTTAGCTTATCCAAATGTTCATATACACCCTTCTTTATGTAAACAGCGTTTCAACTTCATGCACATTTCTATGCCACTCTTTACAGAGAGCCCTCTGTACGTCCTGCTTGTGAAGTCCTTTGGTTGTCGAGGTGGAACTACATGGTGCCCAGGTAGGTGAAAATCAGGATTGCTGCATTATTTATGATTGCTGTAACATTAATTAGTCCAGACCATATAAGGCAATGTAAAGCTCTGAAAGGCTCTTAAAAAGAAATGGAGTAGCTGAGATTGCTGCCTGTGCATTATCCTGGAGTGAGCGGCTCTTTGTGCTGCCACGTCACCACAACAATGCAACATTCGTTCAAAGATCTTTCCACTCATTTCCAGAAATTACTACATTAATTTCTTTGTTTAATTCCAACATTTATTTTCTTTTTCTTTCCCGGAGAGACAAATTCAATTATGAGTCAGTGCCAGGAGTCATTCAATTTATCCTCAGGGTGTTCCTTCAAACCACTGTCATTTGGAGGTCAAAGTTTTATGGCTCATAGCTAAGAAATAGATCTCTGGGACTTTTCATTACAGCTACCCAATCCATGTACCACTTTCTATGAAAAAGTAGCAAAAGTAAGTAAATAGGTGGAATTTATTGCAAATGTGAAACTAAAGTCAGTGATTAATGTTGATTAAGAAGCTAGATCACACAATCTTCTGAACACTTTAACAGGCGAAAGTTAAATTATCTTTTACTTGTCTTTTTCAATTTTACATTATGCTTGTCTGTTACTCTAAACTGTGTTGATGAAAGCCTGATCATCATTTTCTTTTGTTTCATTATTTGGTGGCCTGCACTGTTCTTTCTGAAAGCCATAAATTGTGGCATATTTTTCAGTTTGAGACATGATCTTTGCAAGTTAAATTTGTTATCTCAATAAGTGACATTGCTTAAGAGACACGATTGGTGGGCTATGCTTGTTGTCGGTTATGGATGTTTATTTTATGCAGAGGGGGATGAGCCAGCAAACATGCCAAAGTGGCTCAGATTCAGAAAACCATGCTTTACTGTGTAAGTAGCAACAACATGACAAGAAACCAGGAAGTCTGTACTGTACCCATCAGGATATGCCACTGCAGAAGTAGTGTCCCTAGTGGAGGCTTCAAGAATAACTATTGCTGTAAATATGCAAAGTGAGTGTAGGTTGTAGCACAAACCAACTTCAAAATCAGACCTGTAGGATGAAGGTGATCAAATGAAACTGACCCAGACCCATATTTGACCTTTGCTGTATTTGCAATGTCAGTACTTTTGTTTCTTGAAATACAAGAATTACGTACTTTAACTGTTTTGAGCCTTTGTTGCTGTCTGGTCAGTGAACCAGAAGCCTTTACAAGGTTGCACGTATGATGTGTTTTCTTTACAGAAACTTTTGACCCATTCCAGTTGAATACCTACGACACATGTTGGACTATTTCCAAAAATTAATAAAGCATCTTCTGAGGGGATTATGACATGCGCTGCAGCACAGCAGAAACTCAGACAAAACAAAGCACTCTTGTTTCTCTTTGAAGCAAAAATAAAAGACATGGCGCTTGAGAAAGGAAACACATTTCCCTTTATCTGTTGCCTTTTTGCCTAAACTGAGCATAATCTCCATGTTGATTTTGGATGAACAGCAGATAAATCTGTGTCCAGGAAACCAGATATTTCCCATAACTCAGAAATCCCCTACCCTGCTTGTGACATGGCTCTATGGAAGGCAAAGTAAGTCGAACGTTTGGTTCAAACTAAAATCTCTCAATGGATTGTCAGGAACCTCTGTATTATACAGACTTTCATGGTCCCCAGGAAGGCCACCATGAGGTTGACATTTTGCATTTGAGTATAACTGATAGAACTGAATGAGTTGCCATAATACACTCTGATCCAGCTATTAGCTGTAACCACTACTTTAGAGGGTCGCAGGGGTTGGAGCTGATCCTAGCAAGAGATGCATTCCTCATGCTGTTCACCGAGTTATCAAGCACTCTGGTTTTCTTAGTCTTCAAAATCAAATGACAAAATGTTGCGCAAAAAGATTCTGCACTTTTATTGTAAAAGCAACCAGACCTCATCCAGAGAAAATCAAAAGTCAAAGTCCAGAACAAGGTCAACAAATCTAGAGGATTTTACTGGTTTTACTTTTTTGGTGTATCAACAAAAATACTCTGGGAAATGCTCTGGGAAAACTCATTGAGTCACTTGACCAAATTTAGTGGACTCAAAGTAAACTCAAACCAGCATACATTTCTTTTGTTTCCTTTTAAAGGGCTGGGGTGGAAAAAAAGTAAACAGAAGCAACCCTCTAAAGGTTCACAACAAAAGCAAATATCTCTAGCCTGGCTATAGCTTTATTAGCAGTCACCTGATTCCCATTAGAAAGGCTCTGTGAACTGTTATTTCCTCTCAAGAATCCCAAACAAGCAGCTCTATTTGTCTCCCTTTAACCTCTCTCAGCATTCAGCATGCTCCTCCATGCTGGATACCTTCGTGCCAACCCTAATGACCTCTAGGACCACTAGGGTGTAGATGGTGCTGAATGATTTGTTAGAGTCCTGTATTTTAGTATTTTGACATGAAATCAATGGCTTCTCAGACTCTTGGACAGTTTAAATTGGCTATATGTCCTCAAATGCATCATTTTAGAGGATATGAGTGACAAAGTTCTATGTTTTTGTAATTGTCAACAAATATCTCAAAAAAACCAAATCAAACAGATCCAGTAATGAATCTTTCAAACAAGTACTGCATGAGTTTTAAGCCTGATGCTTTTAAGACTGTTATTTTGAGTCACTCCCACATACACTATCATGCTGGTGTAAAAACTTGCTAGGGAACTAGGGAACAAAATGCAGCCACAAATGTTCAACAAACTAATGCAGAAAATATTCAGAGATAGAACACCACATTTTTGTGTTTAGCCTTTTCATAGAATTTGTTTAGATTCAGGAAAAATCTGAATGACACCAAATTGATCTTCTAAAGAGATATTTGCTCTAAACATCGATTTTTGAAAGCACTGTAGATCTATAGTGCCTGACAGGAATGCTGTTAGAGTGACAGAATTGTAATAATAAATAAACTGTAACACTCTGAATACAGAGAAGCATGAGTTCTGTAAAAATGCTATCGAATTTCTTTGTAAAAAATGTGTTGAAGTTGAAATTTTTCCTTTTCTTTGTCAAATGAAGTTGGTTAGACCTGGAGGGCCAAATATCCTTTGTTGAGCCCTAGCTTTTGGGTCTTACTTCTGCTCTGAAATGGTCCCATGTGGGCCAAAGCTGTCCTGCTCTGTACCTCTTACTTCCTGTGATCAAGAAAAACACACCAATAATTGAGAAAGGCACAAAAAGGGTGAAAAAAAGAGCCAGGAATAAATTTTTATACGTTTATTAAATAATTAAATGAAGGAAAAACTGTAAAAGAGGGTAGTGGTAGTGAGGTTTGGGGTATGCAGTGGTGATGGGTGAGGGGGGACTCTAAAGGCCCTGACCAAATCATCATGCAGCCCAATCAACAAAGCTACCATTCATGCTCCTGGCGTAATGTAAAACGTTTCCTCCCTGACGCAAATCTGCAAAGACAACAGACAGGGAGAGGTCCCCACCACTGTGGTTTAGGATCCGCTTGCTGTGTGAGCCAGATTCAGATCTCCACATGGGTGAGAGGAAGCAGGCATCTGCACCACAGAGAGCAGGGCTGGGAGAAAGTAAAATGCCCAATCTTATTTCTGTGTGAGCAGAGAGATCATATGACCTTGGAGGCCTTGGCTACCTCCTGTGGATCCTTTGCCTCCTCAGACTGGTCTTCATGATGTTTCTGGGTATAACTTAACAGCTGATTTACTTCTTCTACCTTTAAATTTAGTGACTGTGTGTTCTGAATTCCTCTATTTAAGGTAACACTAGCAGTTTATAGTACATATTTATACATGCTGAGGCAGGTGAATGCTGTTTCTCAGGGATGTATTTACTTAGTCATGTATGTTTTGATTAGGAGCTAGATATGACAGCAAGGCTAATTCAGCTTTTAGATCCCATCATCATGGTGATGGGGATGTTGAGCCACACCTAACACTTGAAACAGAAGTTGATGAAAGGTTAGGTAACTTGGTGCACGTTATATGAATGGCAGAGTTTTGTGTTGCTATGGTGCAATGTAAAGATTTGTTGTTTAGGGGAACTTACAGAAAAAAAATCCTGTTGTCCTTGTTTTTGGAAGGCCAGTCTTAGGTAGATGTTAATCCCAATAATTCTCATGCATTCCCCAGCTAACAGTAATAAATACTTTCTGATTAGCTAAATGCCTACCTAATGTATCATGCAAAAAATATTTGAACTGCTTTATATTCATCTTGATATAAGCATAGGATAAAGCAAACAATGATATACATAAAATACATGCTTGATCAAAAAAAAAAATTTGGAATGAAAATTGCACTTTAAATCTTATTAGTACAATTTTAAAAAGATGGACAATGGTAAGAAATATGTCCAGATTATAACGATTAAAATATACATTATATATTTTATTAAAGCATGGACCCTTTTCATCCTATAAATGCATTTGTAAAAGCCTGTTTAACTTGGAACCAGATTTGCTTCAGAAAAGATATAAAGTAGATGTACTGTAGATGAAGGGATGATCAAAAGGGTCCAACAGCTTTGGGTGGCCCCTGAGCTTCTGGGTGCCCCATATTGTGTTTTGGATGACTTTATTTTGTTTGGGGATCTGGGTCTTCTGAGGGCAGAATTCCGCGTTAGGACATCCTGTATCCTGAGGGGAAAATGTTTTACTCTTCCCTTCTCTGTCGTGGGGTGCTGCCTACAGCGCTGGAGAAACTTAAAGGCGATGACTGTTGATGTTTTTATTAAAACCTGTGTGTTATAATTGGATGTGAGATCAAAGTGCCCAGTGCAAAGGACTTAAAGGTCAATGAGTGAAATCCTAGGGTTATAAAGATGATGATAACATTGTGTTCACACTGACTGATGTAGGAAAACTAAAAGCTCCTGAAATGTTGGTAATAATCTGTTGTTACCTAGTAAAAGAGATGTGCTCTCACAGCTACACTCATTCATCTTCATTTTCTCCTCCCAAAAGGTCTGGCTAACCTGGGGGTTTCTCCAAAAA